AGGCCTCTGATTGGTCAGATCTACATCCGCTCTACACTATGCGTATTTCCTGTTTGATACCATTCCGGCTTGTTTTGTTTGTATGACCGCCATTGTGGAAAACAACTGATGAAGATGGAGCAGCTAGGAGAGAGGTGCGCGAGAAAACCGGGACCCTTTCTCCACCTGGATCCCCGCCCTTTTTGGCCCTCATGTCCCTCCGTTGTCGCACAAACTTGCCCCCATTTCCTCACCGCCTTCGCGGTATCTAGACCCACAGCTAGTTCCTGATTGTCCCTCTGGGGTTGTGGCGCGGGATAACATAGCGCAGACCGGGCTTCAATGTTGCACATAAATCGAAAATATCTGCGGACAGCTGCTGCGACACACTGCTGCAGGAGGATAACCAGGCCTGTAGGCAGCAGCTTGACAAAGCGATGATGGCCATTTTTTTTTACATTCAAGTATTATGCTGTTCTTTATATATACACACACATCAAACAGATGGTATCAGTATGGTATCGGTCAGCCAATACTGCACATCCAGGTATTGGTATTGGGGCCAGAAAATGGCATCGGTGCAACACTAGAGTTCAACACCATAATAGCAGTAAAGGCTTTTCCAACAACAAGAGGGATTAAAACGTTTATCACATTCTGAATGTAGTCTGTGCATTTTCACCTTTATGACTCAGAGAGCCATGAAATAAAAAATATTTGGATATGTATTTCAGTGAGACACTTATAATATATTTTAAGACTGAATTCAATTAAATTAACAAAATTATTGACTAAATTATAAGCCTCTGAAACACTCGCTGTACAAAAAACACAAACTACTACAAGTTAAAACAATGATGTCTTTACTTCTAATAATCCAGGATTACAGAAATCTAACATGTATGCAAAGCGCTACACACTACTAGAAAATAACAAACGAGGTAGACTAAATGAATAATTTGATAGCGGGGAAAAAGGTGTCTGTTGAGATGGCTTATAACGGATGTCCAAGGGAGACCAAATGTCAATACATTCATTAATGTCTGTTTAAAATAGCAACAGATATGATGAACAATAGTAGATACCGTTAAAACAATGTGAATTCATTCAGCTTATAATGGTTAATGTTTACGAATGTCTTAACAATATAGCATTGTAGCACCTCAGTGAACCTACATTCAACTAACCTAGATAAAGGGGGAGGTTGCTTTGATCCAGAGTCAAACAAAGGAGAATCAAGATGGCTGGCATCTACCATGCGGTCTAAGGAGGTGGAGCAAAAGGCTGGAAATTACAGGGGTAGTGGATCACCATATGGTGGACCTGATCGCATGGGTAAAGGGGGAGGGTTGGACTACAATATGGGCGCATCTTAACTTATGAACTCACAAAATGGCTGCTCCTATCCTGTGAAGAGTGGAGGGGTTACAGACCCCCACACAATAGACCTTAACACTCAGGAAAAAGACCGCCACTGGAATGTAATTGCACACGGTTTAAAGGGTCTACAATCCTCAGTTACTCTAATACATCAATCTAATGACAAAGGAAACCAAGAAATCAAGATCAAAGAAAACACATAATGTCTCTCAATTCTCAAGAACGCGAGTATGAACTCGTGCCCTCGCCAAGTATTGTCCTGAGAAGAACACAGGACTATGCACACGGCTATGCTTAGAGAGGGCTGCTGCAGACGGGCTAACGTTAGCCCAGGCTGCCGTTAGCCTCGGAGCTCTGCTGGTTGCTGCAGTCCTCTCAACTTCGGAAAAAAAATGTTTGATTATGCATTACATTGGTAAATGGGCCATATACTTTAAAATATAATGTTCTCACCTCAAATGATCTTAAAACGTACGTTTATTGAACAACATCAACAGAAAAGAGAACCTTTAACTTAATGCTCTGATCTCTGTGAGCGCTAACCTGAAAGCTGCTGCTGCCGCAGTGCATGCTGTCAATCTCAAGGGACAAGACTGCTCTGATGCATACTCGCTAAAAAGGGAGGGGCGAGAACCCCCTCTGGTGGTTAGGAAACATCCCCAGAAAAGCTGCGCCTTCTCTTTAGCTGTATGGTTCAAAGGGTGGGAAAAAGTAGTGGCTTATAATCCAGAAAATATGGTAGATAAATTTTGCCCCTATTGGCCACTGTGGAGAAGTCCCCAAATATAGCAACAAAGTCACTAAGTACGCAAAACGGGACTGTTTTCTTCACTTTTCTTCCCTACTGAGAGCAGTATCACCATTAAAGGTATAGAGGAGGATATTCACAAGTCCATTTCTCGTTGTGCACGCTCTGTTTAAAAGTTGCTGTTTGCATCGCTCATACAAGCTATCTTTCCAAAAGAAAGTAAGCTTGCAATTTTTCCATTATGTCAGACTCACCAGCGGTAAATGAAAATGGGGATGAGCACGTAGGACGGCCTTACGTAAACATATCACCAGAATGATTGACAGTTAGGAGGACCACTGATTTACATAGGTGCACTGGCCAAGATTACAACAAGACAGCCAGCGGGGTACAGTGAAGCTTATCTTTCACCTCTGAATAAATAAGATCCATTTACAATCAAACCTGTCAGCTCTTCAATATTTGGTTGATATTTGTTGCTAAAGTTAGATTTTCTCCATAAATCTGTAGGTTGATGGTGTGGGCTGATGGCATCCTGTTCTGACTGCACCAGCCTTTCCTTAAAACATCCAGGTGTTTCTGTGTGACAGTGAAGAGCAGGAGATAACAGTTATATAAGGCACAGGTTCAAACTTGGCGACAGATGTTGAAGCAGGGTGGCATTCTGGGGGCACAGCACACACAAACGTCGGAGACACGTCCACACAATGCCGAGATAACCATCGAGACGTTATTGTCTGCCTTGGATTGTGGATCATCTGGCTGAGGGCCTATAGAATGTGGAATGAATGTGTGTGTGTGTGGGTGTCAGCAAAGGGGAAGCTAGTATCTGTACATTTGTAATTACAGTCAGGAAATGTTTATTTGTGTTTGATTGGGTGGGACCCGTTGGGACTCTGAGTACATTTAAACAAACTATTTCAGCATCCTGTTTAAAGTCGCTGTCAGGCAGAGCAGAGGAAGAAAGAAAAAAAACGCAGGGGAGGTGGAGCGTTGGTCAGTTATGTAAGACCCAATTCTGAGATCCCTTTAAATTGTCAGCAGACTAAAGGAGAGACTGAGGTCAGCTTTAAAAGTACCCAGAAGGATTCAGTGAAATCAGCAACATGGACCTGATGAGTCCGAACCTGCAGCTCTTTTGCAAAATACCCCAAAAAACCTTCTTCTTCCTAAGTTTAGCTCTTCTTTGATTTGATGCTGAATCAGCCTTTTTGGTCATATTTGTACTGGGTTATTCTATGCCAGTAAAACTATGTCCAAAGAGGTTTTTAAAAAATCTTGTGATATATGCGTGCGGTTTTGGTTCAGTTCTTGTCCTCTGCATAAGCCCCCATAGACGACATAATAGGGGTATTCTCATCAAGTTTTTCTTCCCACGATTCAAATCTGAATTATGAAAGCCTTCATTTGATTCATGCATTCAATGTCCTTTAAATGTTTGGCTTTAAGTCCGTCACATGATCCACTACATTTAACTGGCATTCTACAGTTATTACAGTTAGTATTTGACTTTATTACCAGTGCCATCACTTCAGTAGCCATAACAGACATTTTGTCCCAGAGGGGATTCTGCTCAACAGCCTTAAAGGAATCAAACACTTTTCAAAGTTTTGGCATAAATATTTTGTAATTTTCCTACTAACTTAAACAATGCAGTTTGTGATACGTAAAAACTCGTAATTACTTCCATGTATGTTCATCTACCTTCAGCGTCGGCCTCTCTCCTGCACAGGGCAGACCTCTCCTTTGTTCTTATATATGCTGCTGTTTATGTTGCAGCTTCTTTTGCACTGCACACACTCTCTCTCTCTCTTCTATTTGTTATATAAAGAAAAGGAATCTGGATTAGGAAGGGGTTGTTTTTTCCCAGAGACGTAGTTCTACAGAGAGAATAAGGCACAGAGGGTGGGGTGTCCAGGAGCTGGAGTTTTATGAAAGAAACTAAGAGAAAAAGTCAAAACAATCCACAGTAAAGGGAGTATGGTCCCTTCCTCTGCTGATTCTACAAAACATTTTATTTTCAAGTCTATTTGTGGGGAGGTGTTATATAAAACTAAGAGAAGGCCGAATTGGACTCCTATCTGACTGATATCAGGCACAACAGGCCAGGTTTGCTGTCAGTCATGAGATTTAAGCAGTTAAAGTATCAATGACTGAAGTTATGTAAAGTGGGAGGATGATTCATTTATCTTGGCAGAATCCGCTGCTGTTGGGATGTTGAATGGAGGGAATATTGTTCCACTAAGAAGCATATTTTATATATAGAAATATGAAAATATAAAAAGAATGCTTTGAATTTTAAAAACCTTTCTGTTTTTGAGAACAACTTTGCTGAACTTTCATATATCATTCAAAAACATTTATTTTTTTTTATATTTCTAAAAAAAAAAATGTTTTCAGATATATCAGATGTTTCACAGATCCCTTTCTCTTCACCAAAAGTTGGGCTTTTTTCTGGATTATTATTGGTCAGGTGCGGACGTTTCCATGGAACCGTTACCAGAATGTGATCTGTAAAAAGCAAGTAGAAAATAACGCGGTTCATAAAAATCCATCTGCAAAAGGCAAATCTCAACAAAATAACATTTTAAATCTGCTCTCAAAATCATTTTACATTTTTTACATTTAATACAAGATTGTATTTTTTGTTCGCTTTTTTTTTTAAACGACTTTTTACAAAATTGTTTTTATTTTGTACCAAAGATGGAACAAAATTTGCTGCATATTGTCATGGATCTTAACCCAGGCTGCTTCTGCACTAAGAGGGGGTGAAAACTATTTCTAAATGTTGATAGAGAATTCTCTTTAGAAATCTTCAGTTATTCTTATTACAAAAACAAAAAGCAGTCATAAATCATCCATCCAGAGTTTCCTTCCTCCTCCTCTCTTCTAGGACCGCTTGTTCTTCGTGATGGAGTACGTTAACGGAGGAGACCTGATGTTCCAAATTCAGCGATCCAGGAAGTTTGACGAGGCGCGCTCCCGTTTCTACGCCGCTGAGGTCACATCTGCCCTGATGTTCCTTCATCAGCATGGGGTTGTTTACAGGTATGATCTTCCTTTTCTCATACGCTGTGAGCTCTACATGTGGCGGTGCTCCGGCCTCCGTCTGACACACTCTCTTTACGTTACAGGGGGGAGTGCTCTCGTTTTTCTCTCTCCCCTTCTCTGCTATCATATGATATACTGTGAAGTTTCAACATGATGCTTATTTGGTTTAGAGCCACCAACTGTGATATGCATCTCTGTTACGGGGAGTAAAGAGGATTTTTCTTTAAAGCAAATAAACACTAATGTGGAAACAGGTAGATGGAGGCATGAAAACATTTGGTATAGTGAAGCTTTTTTACATGTTTCATAAGGACACATTTATTTTACAGCATAAATAACTGTCGATCAAAAGGAATTTATCATTTATTGGCTTCATCCTCGATAGTGGTCGGCCTGGCAAAAAGTCTTCTATCAGCCTGGTGTAGCAACATGGGCTCTCAGTGCATTAGCCCGCTATAATTAAGGACTACATGGGCTTAAATATTTAATAATCATTCATGATTAAATGTTTATCCTGGAGCAAATGTCAGGAGCAGGGAACGCTTCACCATGCGCCGCTTCACCACCCTTCACTGCGTGGTTTAGGTTTTGTTACATTGATGAAATGATAGAAACAGGATAAAGGAATCTCTCTATGGTGGACGTGTTTCTGTTGGGGGGAGCTGATTGAGTCATCAGGAACCAAGCAATAACTGACATCCATCAGAGCAGAGCTCTCTAACCCTGAAATCCCACATCCTCCCTCACCAGCGTTCCCTGGTCTTATTTTTATTTTGAGGAAGAAATGGAAGAAAGTTCCCATCGCTGCATCAAAGCGCTACCTGTTGGATCTATGAACGGTTTTCTATCCTTAACTAGCTGCAGTAGTGGAGTTTGGAGACACGATCCACTTCTTAAATCTATCTTTGCTCTCCTCTAATTTATCCAGAAGTTCTGTAATTGCACTTTTTTTCTTCCCTGGAAATGCCTTTCCTTATTACTCTTTTATTATTTGACAACTTCTCATTCCAAAGCAAACAGGCAGGCAATCCTTCCTCTTTGGTAATGAAAGCAAATGATTCGCTCCATTCTTCCCTGAATCCTCTGTTCTCATCAGCTGCCTGTCACCGCGCAGCGCAGGTACCAGGTATGACCACTGATCTGTATGGCTATGATGCTAATTTTCGTTGATAGAAATGTTTATATTTATTGTTTAAATTTATTTATTATAAATTTTTTTACAGCATTGGAATACATAATGAATGTCTTTTTGACCTCCTACACACCATATTATAACAAACACACGAAACATTTTTTATTTCACACATTTTTTAAAAAGCTCCAGGGAGCTGCTAGAGAGGCACTAAAGAACCGCGGATTCCTGACCCATGATCTTCACCTATACAGTAGATGCAACTTAAAAAACACAATAACAGGTTAAAGATGTATATTTACAATACATGCATTTACATAAACCTAATGGCAGTCAGGGTGCCGTTGTCTAGCCTGTATAGGTCTGTGTGTCCCTCCATGGATATGCCTTCCCAGACCATCACTGACCCACCACCAAACCGATCATGGTGAACGGTGTTACAGGCAACATAACGTTCTCCACGGCTTCTCCAGACCCTTTCACGTCTGTCACATGTGCTTAGGGTGAACCTGCTCTCATCTGTGAAAAGCACAGGGCACCAGTGGTGGACTTGCCAATTCCGATGTTCTGCCAAATGCCAATGGAGCTCCATGGTGCCGGGCAGTGAGCACAGGGCGCATTAGAGGATGTAGGACCTCAGGCCACCCTCGTGAAGTCTGTTTCTGATTGTTTGGTCAGAGACATTCACACCAGTAGCCTACTGGAGGTCATTTTGTAGGGCTCCGGCAGTGCTCCTCCTGCTCCTCCTTGCACAAGATACCGGTCCTGCTGATGGGTTGTAGACCCTCTACGGCCCTGTCCAGCTCTCCTGGAGTAACTGCCTGTCTCCTGGAATCTCCTCCATGCTCTTGAGATTGTGCTGGAAGACACAGCAAACCTTCTGGCAATGGACTGCCTGTGCAACCTCTGCAGGGTCCAGGTAGCGCCTCATGCTAACAGTAGTGACAGTGACCCTAGCCAAATGCAAAACTGGTGAAAAAAAGTCAGAAAAGATGAGAAGGGGAAAAATGTCAGTGGCCTCCACCTGTAAAACCATTTCTGTTTTGATGGTTGTCTCGTTGTTGCCCCTCTAGTGCACCTGTTGTTAATTTCATAAACACCAAAGCAGCTGAAACGGATTAACAACCCCCTCTGCTACTTACCTGACCAAATCAATATCCTAGAAGTTTAATGAACTGGATGCTATATTACAAAGTGTTCCTTTAATTTTTTTGAGTAGTGTATAAGGAGGGTCAGTCAGGATTCAACTCCTGAGTAGACAATGTTTTGCTAGCTTTTTTAGCCACAACTAGCAAGGATACAGTAGAGATGAGGTTTCCAGAAAAGCAGCCAATCACAGGCACTTCACTTTCTCTGGTTGGCTCCATCCTCAAAGTGACAAAGGCTGACATGAGTGCATAGAAACAGATCTACAGAGAGAAGGAGAGAAGCTACAGGTGCTTAAAAAGCTAGAGAGCGCAGAGTAGGAGCACCAACTAATGCTTCATCTCCTGGGAGATGCATGCTATCAAATCAGCACACAAAACATTTTTTAAATGCGCACTGAGAGACGTTCATGTGCTTTACATTAAAGTGCTTGTATTAGTGTTTATTCATGTTTTTTTTTATTGCCCGTTGTTAAGTAAGGTGTTAAAAATGGTTGATGGAAATGACAAAATCCAATGAAAATTTCTCAGTTTTGTAAAAATTTTCTCATACTTGCTTGGTGTTCGGGCTGTCAGTCATATGGGTTTCACTGCAGGAATTAGAATTGCATTTCTTTCTCTACGCCCAATAGCAAAGCTAATTCACATGACAACAATTAAAAGACATTCCTGAAAACCTCCTTCCATTTTCTTTAGATCTCATGTTGCCTCATAATTTATACTTTTTTTGGTAGCATTTTTAAAAAATTGCAAAAAATGTGGACGACCAGTTGGATAGATACACGACCAGAGAGTGCCAAAGCTTAGAGACATGATAAGAAATAGTCTCAGCTCAGAAATAAATTGACTGAATTGGAAATTTCACACTTTGAAAGTGTTTGAAAGTGAATAAAACTCATATTAAATGTTTTGTGTGTTTGGCTGCCTTCAGGCCTGTGGAGGTGAAAGGCATTTTTCAGTAGCAAAGATAAAAGTGAGGGATCTGGAGCTAACAATGGTCGGCCTGGAGAGGTCACAGTGACTCCAGCAGGAAGCTGTAAGATGTTATTTATATTATAAGCCATGTTTGTTGTCGGCCTTTCATGGTTCTGCTCCTCAGTTCGGTCACAATGAAACACATTTATAAATATTTCCTTGAGTTATGAAATTCGCACTCTTTGACCTTTTTGGAGCTGTGTGTCCACATCAGTCTGCGCCGACTCCTGGAGTCATAATATCATTGTCAGTTGACTGCAAATACATAGCAAGTTGGAAGAAGGCATAACATGAAGCACAACACCATTGTGACAAACAGAGGATTAGTGCAGATTCAAGCATCTTCAATGCCAAAAATATCTGCAGTGGAAGGAAATTAATTTTATACTTTTTTTCCCTTCATGAATCCAAGTTGTAATAAGGTGTTAGAATTTCCATCTTATGAATAGAATAAAACAGAAATCCCTTTATTGTCCCACAATGGGGGTAAATTGTGGTGTTCACAGCAGCAAAAGCATTACAGCAAGAGGTTGCACAAACATGGACGTAAAAAAGTGTATAAAAATAACAGAATAGGTGGCAGAGTTAAGAAAATAAAGAAATAAAATCCTGTCCTGTAAAGTGTTTTAACAAGATAAAACTTTGCATATGCAGAATAAATAACCAATATCCAGCTATGGACATTTTTTTACAGTAATGGATATTTGAAAATAGCAGCCACATCAGAGATGTGCAAAATGACAGCAGCAGGTTATTTAACTGACTAAGGTAGAAACTGAGCAGAATCAGCATGAATGGAAGAACTGGTTGAGGTTGTTGGGAACAGTGGTGGTTCTAGAGTCTTCCAGCTGCTGGGAGGAAGGATCTGTGATAACGCTCCATGGTGCATTTAAGGAGCAGCAGTCTGTCACTGAAGGAGCTCTCCAGTTCAGCACCAGCTTCATGCATGGGGGGGGGACATTATCCAACAGAGACGTTCATTTAGTTAGGATCCGTCTGTTTCCCACCTCCTGCACTGAGTCCAGAGGGCATCCAGTCACAGAGCTGGCCTTCCTGATCAGCTGATCCAGCCGCTTTCTCTCTGCTACAGATAAGCGACTGCTTCAACAGACAGCTCCATAGAACATGGCTGATACCACAACAGAGTCCTAGAAGGTCTATAGGCGCGCCCCCTCAGTCTCCTGAGCAGGAAGAGTCTGCTCTGACCTTTCTGATCCAGAGCCTCGGTGTGGATCCACCACTAGCTCCTTGGTTTTCCCTGCATTAATCAGTAGGTGGTTTTGCTTAAACCAGTCCACTAAGTCCTGGGTCCACTGTCTGTCCTCTGAATTGTCCCCACCCAAGATGAGGCCAACTATGGCAGAATGGTCAGAGAACTTCTGGAGGTGGCAGCTTGGAAAGTTGATGGAGAAGTCTGCAGTGTGGAGGGTTAGAGGAGCGGTTCCCTGTGGGAGCCCCATACTGCAGACCAACCTATCTTAGAAACAGCACTGTAACCTCACATACTGTGGGCTGTCAGAATCCACTGGGACATGTGCTGGTCCACTCCTGGCAGCTCCAGCTTGGCCCTTAGGAGTCCTGGCTGGATGGTGCTGAAAGCACTGGAGAAATCAAAAAACATGATCTATACATTAAATTTTTGTAGCTGGGAAAAATATCCCAATATATAGTGATAATATATTATTGTTTTGCTGCCCCTGAATCCCGTGCACCCTGGCTGTAGAGGACACCAATGCTCCAATAGC